TTATTATTTTATACAGTCAACTGGAGTAAATATTTGTGAATTTGTATGATAGGTACTATGCGTTATAACAAATAATAACGAGCTCAACATTATCGAATTAGCTATTTATTTTATCAAGTAATTAAGTTCAGTGATTGCGTGAGTTTTATTTTGTTTGCAATGAAACGTTACGTCCGTAAAGTGCCCATAACAATTTGAATTAAATATTCTTACTGTAATGCAGTAAATATTCTTACTGTAATGCATTAATTTAATTGATAAATTTCTCAAATTGAAAAAAACTCAAATAACTTAACAATATTATATTCATATTGTAGAAACATGCTTAGCTTTGATTGCTACATATATTTGTGAACTATTTTCTAGGTCTAGTTGCATCGGTACAAAACATAAACTACAGTAACCGAGATCTTGTTTACCGTCAAATATCTAATAGCAGCAATTGAATTATGTAATTAAGATATGTGATGTAGCAGATTTTTGATTGCATATTGAGTCCTGCTTATGATAGTCGTGTCTCTTTGCGCCTCTTTGATTACTTTTCAATCGTTTTTAAAGACCAGGAAATATTGTGAAGACTCATTGATACTGTTGTTTCTTGTCATGTGTGAGGAGTACTTTGATGATTTTGATATATTTGAAGGGAAGTTTTATTTAGTATTGCAAAGGTCAAAGGGTTATTTTTTTCTCATTACATTAAATTAATTTCCCTGTTTCAGAAAGAATAGTACTAAAAAGTATACCACAGGTGCTTTGCAAAGATTAGAGTGTACCATAAAAAGTTTCTCATTTACATTCATATTTACTATTATTTGTTCATTTATTTTCACTGGAATGTTTCTTATGGAGAAGGTAAATATTCCACGTTAAGAACTAATAAATGTTATATTTTTCACTTTCTTTAGATTATTGGTCAGAGCAAATGGGGCCACCGATAAGTTGCAAACGAATGGTAAATGAAAACAAAGCAGCGAAAGATTTTGGACAAATTGCTGTAAGCATACTTTGGTCACAAGATTATTTAATTTGTAAAGTTTTAAGTATTTTTCTAAAATTTAATTTTTATCAGGTTTTTGCGTTTTCATTTTTGAAAATAAAAAACCTTTTGTATCAATAATGAGGTGGAATTAGTTTCGGTTTTTCTTATTTAAAGCTACTAAACTTGGAACTGCAATAGTTCGGTCACAAGTATATAGTACTTATCTAATTTGTAAAGTTAGTCCAAATATTTTACTTTTTTGTATTTAATCCTTATCATGTTTTCGCATTTTCATTTCTGAAAACAACAAAAATTCGATATTTGTTTACGATTTCTTTCTATAATTGCCATGATCTATTTACGTTTGGTTTTGTTGATTTTTTCATGAAATATAAGTTTGTGTGAAAGTGCACTGTGTATTGTGTTTCAGGTTTTTAGTGAAGTTGCTGTGAGGCATAATATAGCTGTTTTGGAATATTCGAGGACATGTCAAGCAGCGGCAGCAGGAATGGCTAGTGGCATTCTTGGTCTAACCGGAATACCGGGATTCATTTTCTATTTCGCTCTTGTGATTTTACAGGTGTTTTAATATTTGTGGTATTCAGTTCTACATGTAACATGTATTTGCTCAACTACACATTTACAAGCTTTTAGTCTGAATTGTATTTATCTTTTAAAACATATTTCTTTAGTGAAAAAGGTTATCAAATACTAAGGGAATTCAGTAATCCTTGTGCTTTTATGTTTTTTTCATGTTATAGGCTTTCTTGTGGGAAATGAAAGCAAACTTTGAATGGCAGAATTATTTTATGAGTCGAAGTTCATCGTTTACGCATTCCTTGTTATCTGGCTTATTTACTTATACATTATTTTGGGTATTTTTGTATGGTATGGTGCATGTTTATTAAATGATCATCTTTGCTTGGAAATCTCCAGTATAGGATAAAATATTTAAACATTATTTTATTTCATGAATATTATGACCTTGATAAAAGTCTCATTTTTGGGTGGTATTACGAGTTTCAGAGAAAGTCGTAATACCACCCAAAAACTTCGAGTTTGCAATTCTTTTCTGATCTCTATTTTGCTTCAAAACTAGTCTTAGCATATTTTGTTTCTGCTGATAGGTCACTAAAATTAAAGTGTTATGCGTTATTTTTTATATATAAGTTATTGCGAATAGTTATTGTTCATCATTAGTATGTGGTACTTGTACAAAAACTAGTTTTTAAATTCCAATATTTTAGATATATGAATCAATATGTTACATGAAAACATCTTGAAAGTCTTTGAAATAATTATTATAAATCCAGATTGATTCAAACGTCGAAAATGCCAGCAGAGCAAAGTATGATATCAGTTTCACCCAGCCTTCTTTACATTAATATTCGTTTTATTATTCTCAAGTGCTTTTGGTTGCATCTGCCTCCATTTCGTTACATGATACTTGGGCTAAGTTTTAAAATAGTAGATGCGTTTTTCTGGTTCATTTGCTTTTGCTTCCATTTTTTTTACAACAAAATGTTATTAGTGTGGGTTTAAAAAATCCTAACCATCGTTATCATTTTGCCTTCTATTTTAAATTCATTGTTATCGCCGACTATCATAATAATGTTTTTGAGAAACATACAATAAATATGTTAGAAATGTGTATCTTGTTAACATGTTTTTGAAAAAAAGATTTCAGTAGAACTTTTTTAGTGTTTTAAAGAATTTGTGTCAAAGAATGGAATTTTTTCCGCAATTCGTTTCATTGCGTTACTTTTAGAAATTCAAAGTGAATAATATCGTAAAAGTGCCTCCGTGTTTAACTGTCTCGAGAGTTATGACATCTTTTGGATAACAACCATTTAAGGCCTTAGTTAAGTAGTATTGTGTCCGGATTCTCGTAATCTTTCAAGAAAAGTCATGAAGTTTGAAGAGAGTTAAGGAGTTTGTTTTTCAACAAAGTTTCAAGCATGCAGTTTTCAGCTGTTGCACTATTCACCTCGTTTTTTGATATTTAAAGACTTCAATGTTAGGCAGCAATGATAAAGCCAAATATGATCGTTCGGAACTTGTCAAACGAGTCGAAGAGCAATATAATTTGATTGTCGATTATGAAAAAAAATTGAAAGGTCTAATTTGGTTTCGTAAAGGATTTTTAAATATTTTGGATGGCTTATTACCACTTAGTGTAGTCTCATTCGTGATTTCTTGACATTTTTCGAATCTTAGCTATTTAATTTCTATTTGTGTAGTATGAAAAAGTTGTTTCAGACATAGTACGTGCTTACAGAGGTCTTAATGCTGAAAAGAATGCCTTTCAGGAAATTGTCGAAGCTCTAACATTGCAGCAAGGTACTTTTAATCCGTTCAGTAATTATTCAGTATTAATTTATTGCTGTGAATTGTTTTTTGCAGGCAATAAAGGAAGTGACGAGAGGAATGAGACTTCAGAAATTAGTGCTGATTCGAAGGAAAAACTTTCCAAGGTTTGCTATTTTAGCTTTATAGTTTGTCTCGAAACTAATGAATGCAATCATTTGAAATGTTTCCTTTTTGATATGTCATGGAAATTTTCGTCATATTATATTCAGTGCTTTTTTGTTTCAGGAAGATCAGATAAAAATTTTAAAGAAATCGTTAGCCGTTCTAATAACAGAAAAAAATAAGCGAGAATCTGCATTTCAATGTGACAAAAAAGTTTTATTGGTATATGCAAATTTTATGTCTTTAATTTATCAAGCATTTATTCTTTTTTTTGACGAATCAACTGAAACAGCAACTTACCAGGGTTAAACTATTGCCAGGAAGGTTTAAGTGGTGGCAAGCATACTTTGCATAGCGATAATATAACAGAAATTCGGTAAGGTATTCTAAAACCCTAATAAAAGGTTTTCAGTGAATAATATTTAAGTAAAGATTTCATTTAAAAAGGGATCGAAAATGAAGTAGTTAATGTTTTCAACCAAACTTTCAGTCTGAAAATGAAACTCTGAAAGCAAGATTGGACAAAGCTGCAGCTGAAACGGAAATGCAAGCTGAAAAATTGGAAAATAGAGTATTGGTAAGTAATCGCATCTTGAATTCTCATATCTTTTTTGATTCGGTTGAAGGATTTTATTAGAGGGCTTATCGGTAGTAGAGTGTTTTTATATGTTAAGCTCACACAGACTGTAGTTTCTATATTAGCTGAGTTCGAACTTTATTTGAGGAATTACGCTCAAAAATAAAGCGCATTGAAGGAGATCGTGAAAAGGAACTAGCGGATCATGGTTCTGTTCTTGCAGCTATTCAGCAGCAATATATAAAGGAGTGTGGAAATTCTGAGCGACTTCAAAAACAAGTAAATTCAACGTATTTTTGAGAAAGAGATTCAAGGTTTTATTGCATAGCTGTAATTTCCAGTAAAGAAGCGTGTAAATATGTATCGTTCAATAATTTGAATCAAAATTTAATACTTAGGTCATGGAATTGCATGGGACAGTACTCGAGAAAGAAGAGCTACTGAAGCATTTAGAAGCAGAAATTTCTTCCATGAAAGAAGAAATTATTAGACTTCAAAATTATGCAGAATTATGTAAAAAGAAAGCAGAAAAAGCACCCGCTATACAAATGTTAGAGAGTGAATTGCAAGATGTGAAAGTACATTTGTCATTATTATTAACGATATTTCAAAACATTTGATTATTTCTAGATGCTAATACTATACATTTGATTTTACTGAGTTGTCATTTTAGGAAAGCAGTAAAACTGAAATAGCTGAACTGAGAAAAAAACTAATGGAGGCATTGAGTACAGAGAGGGATACTCGTCTTTATGTACTTGAACAAAGGTTATTTTCTTCAGTATTTGCTATAAATAAACTATGTAGCTTGTATTTAAAAGCAGGCTCTTGTGATACAGACTTCAGGAAATGACTACAGAAATGGGTGCTTTTGACAGAATTCGAGCAGATTTAGAGTATAAAATAAATCAGTTGGAAGGAAAAATCAAGTTGCTAGAAAATGAAAATATACTGTTGAAGGTAATTTTTATTAATTGAAAGATTGTTATGAATGCACTTCATACATTTTAAACTTTTCATGACTCATTTTGTTGTCATCAGATTATTAAGAAGCTTACGGAGTAATCGTATTTTGTGAAAAAGAACGGTTCGATCAATGATTGATTTAAACTGGATTAGCAAAAGACCGAAACCATAACCGATAGTTTATCTTCTTGAAATGAAATATGCTTAATCTAATTAGTTACGAAGTATGGTTTTCATTTTTATGATTGCAATATCTTGTCCATGTTATATAAGTGCATATTTTAATTTCTTAATGGTTCTTCTATTTTATTCATTCATGTTTTCAGGCTTCTGAGTCAATGAAAGAAACTGAAAAATCTGATAATTTTGAACGTACATTGCAGAACTTCAAAAAAAGTGCTCAAAAATTACGTAGTTCGAAGCACCCAATAAATTTTTATGGTGCATTCAGCTTTCTTGCTTTTAAACTAGATGTTATTTCTACTGTCCTTGATTTCATAATTATAGAGACAATAATCTTTTTCAATTAGAAAGCTCTAAGAAAAATAATTGCAGAACTGCTAGGACTGGAGGAAACATCACATGAGCAAAAGAGACGATATGATATGCTGAAAGATGAGTACGAAAAATATAAATTAAAAGCCGAGTCTTTGCTGAGAAGCAGATCTATGAGTGTAAAGATTTTAGCATTTTAGTTTTACAAACTTTTAAGTTGTCAAGAATTGAATCAAGGTATTTTATATTATGCTTGAGTCTTTTAGAACGATGTTTTGGTGAACACTAATTTATCATCTGCTTTATCAGTAGCAACTTTAAATGAATGCCCGTCTTGTATAGCAGCTGAAGCAGACCTTCGACATTTACGTTCAGTAATTGCTTCTCTTCATGACAGACTTCAATCTCTTGAAATTGATTATGCAAACATGAAAAATAATTACGAAGAAGTCAGTTATGAATATGTTTATTCCCTATCTTTTAAAAGTTGTTCAAAATATGCAAAATATAAGCTTTTGTTGTGAGAGGCTTATTTGGTCTACTTTAGTACGGCAGTAATTTTAGAAGACTACCTTATTAAATCGTGAAATTTCTGAAATGGAAAAGTCACAGGATAGCTTGATATTTGAATTGCGGAATCAGATGCATCAAAAAGGTCAGTTATTGAAAAGTTTTGAAGACTAATTTGCAGTATTTTTTTCGTGAATGGTGTTATTACATTACTGAATTGTTCTTAGACTTTGTTTTTTTCACAATTTGCTGCATGACATTGTTTTTTTCTTTTTACTATAGTTCTTTCACTTTAGTTATTTTCATTCATAATTTCAGTAGCCGAAGTGGAATTAGAAATGCAAAAGCAGCGTACTAGAACGCTAGATATTCTTGCAGAAAAGGAGAATGAGCTGGAAATAACAAAGTGTGTTTCAGTGGCATTAGTTTTGTATTTTCTTGAAAGCACTAATGTTCTCTTTGACTTGAATAATTTTTTTGACATTTTCTTAAGTTTTAATAAATGATGATTTGATTGAATTTGTCTGTTCTATCACTTTTTTATACTTGAGAGGATTGTTCCTACATAGAACCTTATTGTTAACGACATTACTCGAAGATTCTGAAAGTCATACACAAATGCAATTAATTTTTTCATGTATTTGTTTGATTTTTCATGAAGAACTTCCATTATTATTGACTTTAATTTCAATTCCATACGTTTTACATTCAATTTTAGAGCTATTTTGACAGCAGTGCGAGATCAGCAAAATGTTCGTGGAAGAGAGCAGAATAATCAAAATATTTCGTTGCAGTTGACAAAGAATCTAGAAACTGAGTCACATGAATCTCTGCAAGATAATGTATCTTCTAATGAACGACAGGCAGGAGGTTGTATTTCAATATTTTTTAAATTAATTATTATCACTTATCGTTGCTGGAAATTATGAGTTACTTTGATTAGACACGTTTTTTTGTAATTTTTGATCTCAGATCTGGTACTTGTGTTAGCTGAAATCATAATAGTTTCAAGTTGCATGCGGCCTTATTTTTTCTAGAAGTTTTGCTTATCATATCTTCCTTTCTCTTCAACTTGGTAAATTAGAAATAAATGGCTAACTGCAAATAGCTAAAATTATTAATTCAGTGCAACTTATGTTATACTTGAATATAATAAAATCTAGCGCTTACTTCTCATATTCGTCAAAATAGTAGAATAAATGATCACAAGCACTAAGTAGGTGATATGATTTGTATTTTCAAACTCATTATCTGTTTTTCTATCAGTATTTTTTGAATATTCTTTTCTGCTCTAAAAACAAAATTATTTTCCAGCTTCGCCGACTGTTATTCAATCTGCGTTAGTTTTTTCTGGAACGCTGAATCTCTGTGAAACTCATAACTTATTTTATGAACAACAGCTTGCTCGAAAAGAAAAGGATATTTTAGAATTAAGGTAGTTATCGGATTAATGATGTTGGATCAGTATTTTTATTCTATCTTAGGTCATATTTTTTATTTAAAAATATCTTATTATCGGTGAACTTTTTAATCCGATTTTTTGTAATTTACTAAACACTAATTTTATTTATACATTAAATGAATAAAAATAGATCAAATATGTGATGTTTTCAAGAAATGCTATTCGTATGGCTGAATTGAATGTTCGAGATATCCAGCAAGCATCGCTTACAAAAGATTTGCAACATTTTGAAATGGTGGAAAAATTAAAAGATGAGATTAGGATACTGGAAGGTTTGTCAATTTTCATTGGAACAAAAATTTATTAGTCGTTTAATTTCAATCATTTTTTCTTTTTGATGATGCAACTTCAATTACATGTGTATATTATTCAAGTAAATGATTGCAATTAATGTCTTTGAATTTTCTTCTTTCGATACTGCCCAATTTGGCATGAATAATTATTAAAAACCAATGTATTCCATAAAAATTTATTAAAGTCTTTATCAGATGCAGAAATAAATTTCACAGGCACTTTGCTAAGCATTTTGAGTTAAGCGCTTTTTATGACTAAATAATTTTCCATTTACAGCAGTTACTCTCTTACTTCTTTCATCTTCAGGTTGCACTTATAAGAACTGATCTAAAGTCTTATTTCAGGAAAACTACAGTTTTTAACTGCTGATGCTAATATGGAATATTTACGGAATATTTTTGTTCAATTAATACATAGTGATAGCTCATCCAGTCGGAAGCACATCTTAAGAGCTATTGGTGCTGTATTAAAATTAAGCTCATCTGAAATGCGAGTAATCGAGAAATACAGTTGATTGCATTTAAAATATTTGAAAAAAAAAGAGAGAACTGACGTATTATGTAAAGTAATTCAGGCAAAAAGAAGTCGTTTTGATTTTTAATCAAATGTTTGTATTTTTCAAAACACATACTGCCATGCTTTGTAAATTTTGAACTTTCCAGCTAAAAATTTATATCGCTTTTTGAAAAACTCTATTATATGTATGGGAGTATTTGTAGTTAGAAACTTTTGTGTCCAAAATTTGAGATCTGTATTTATTTTCATGCATCGCTGTGTATTTTTTAAGTTGTTATATAGCAATTTTTGATTTAAAATTTTGCTGTGAAGATTTTGGAAGAACTTTCATTTTTAGTTGCAGCTATTCAAAAAATGATTAAATGCTGAAATATCTAAAAATGAGGGTAGGAAATGAAGTTGAATGTTTAAAAAATGTAAGCTTTTAATTTTACGTAACTTCGGTGTTGTATACGCGAGTAATAATCTGTTTTTTGCCATTTTAAATATGATGTATCAACTATTAAGAAAAAATATATTTTCATTCCATGAATTAATTTTCAGACAATCCAGGGTCGTGAATGGACAGGTAGTTGCTGACAGCGACATGACGTAAAGAAAAATGAAGATGGGATAATTGAGGGATATATATATTGAAAGAAGTTCCGTAAAAAATATAGGAAAGCTCTTCTTCAATAATATTCGAAACCTGGTAACAGCAGGATGAAGTATTCATTCGTGGAATCCTGGTTTTTAAGAGCATAAGCTTGGGACAATTTTGTAATATCAGAAAGTTATCTTTCCAAGCAACAAGCAGCACAGTGATGCAAACAGCAATGAAACAAGATAAAAGGAAAAGTCGGATGTGGATTAAGCTTGAATAACTTTCACAAACTCGAATAAGTGACTATTCATACAGTATTTGCCAGTGGAACTTGAAGATTAACATCTGAAACGCCTAGAAGTAAGTGCTGATAATGAATTTCATTCTTGCTCTCAAGCGTGACTGTCATGAAGCTTTCAGGATGCTGAGCTTTAGTAGAGCGTATGAAAAAACGCTAGGCTTGAATTGTTGAGAAGGTGATTCTATAAGAACCTGGCTGAAGAACTGCTTGTAGGAAAGAAATTTGGCAGTTCTGGGATAAGATGTGAATCTCAACGATAGGAAAGGATAATGGTATTTGGCATAACAAATATTGGGAAGGATTCGCTCAGGATTGTGGAGTGCTTGATACGTTCCATATCTGAAATCGTGTTTGGGAATATACTTTATTTGCCTAATTGGAAGGTGGTGAATTCTGACGGACTCTAAAACTTTTTTATTATTAGGTGCATCTCCTTGCATCCGGACCTGTACAAAATAAGAAGGCGAATTTGCATAACATGGTTCTGCAAAGGCTGCAAAAGATATAAAGTGGCAACTTGAAATCAGCAACCTATATATGTAATAACATGCACTTGGAAATTATTGTACCTATCTTCTGATTAAATGCGACTTCGTAAACAATTTAACCGCTTAAAAACCTAAAAGCAATCCAGTATAGCGAAATAAAAAAGAAGGCTCATCGTGCACAGCTATTCAAGATACACAGTAATGAGCTAATATCAGTGTCAGATTCATCTCTATGGTAACAATTCGGAAATATTACCGCACAAGACGAATATCATCTTCAAGATAGACTTATGTTTGGAGCTGAGAAGACAATGAACTCTCTGAAAACGCAGTGCGAGAGGATGCTGCATGGTGACTGTACTGGAAGACATGATGAGGTGTTAGGGCATCTGCTACGATTCTATAAGAAGTATGGTCTGGAAGCTTTCCCACGCATACTACAGTTTAGGAGATAATCGCGAGTGAAAACGTGGAGATAAGAGTCGAGTAAAAATAGCGATATTCGAATAAGAGCGCATCTATCGAACATGCTAGTGTGAAATCGGAAACAACGCGCATTACTCTTAATAGAGGTTAGTATCAGTGATTAGAACAACAGTCGACATCGAAAAAAAGCAGGAGTATGATCTACTGGGTAATAAACTCGGAGCAGAGATGAAATGCAGGTCAGAAATGATTCCTTATGTGCTGACTTGGGATGAGGTAGTGACGAACTGCCAGAAGACGCTGGAAGCATTTGATTAACGTCGTGTATTTGACGAGAACGAAGCAACGGAGACCAGCACAGCAGAACTGAGCGAGTGCAAAGACAGTGCTGGAATACGATCCAGCGTTAGAATCAATAACGCAGAAATGAGGATTAATTCTATATGGTTCTGAAGATTAATTCCATGTGCTGTGTATATGTATATGGTAATAAATTAGGCGTGACAAACAGATGTCCATTAGAATATGTTAAATATTTTTATATGAATGCAGAAAAGGTCCTTTATTATATTCTGTATAAACTTCTTAAATAGTTAATCTGATGAACACTGGTAGTATTTTACGTTTTCTGTATCGGGAGAATTCTGATTTTGACGTGAACATGGACTGAGATTACCGCTGTCTGCTTGAGACTCATTTATCACACCAATTACTGTACTAGATCGACTCGGAGGATTGTATCCTAGAACACATAATTTATATCTAAACATTTTTAGCGTTTAATTTTAAATTAAATAATGATGATCTGTGTGAATATGCTAGATTTTTTACAGATTGTATGCCTCAACTATACTTGACTAGACAGTAAGTGATCTGAATTAACTTGAAGAATTGATTCAGATAAATTTGTAATTAGCATACTTGTGAAAATGAAGTGTCTTGCATAGAACTGAAAAAGACTTAAAAAATAGACCTGAAATATCACATTCTATGCAGTTCATCCATTCACTGTAAAACTTTGCACACTTCCTGACTTCATATTCATAATGCGCAGCTTTATTTCGTTGATCAATGAACAGATTGGTGAGAACGATTGTTGATGTGATAAGAATGATAACGAGCACACTGAGTATGCATATCAGAGTAATCCAACACTTGCTATTCGTGCAAACTTTCAATCTGAGTACAATGTTAGCAAGTGTTTAGCTTGTGACCTCAATAATAATAACAATAGTAATAATAGTAATAATAATAATAATAATAGCAATAATAATAACAATAATTATAATGACAATAATAATAATAATACCGATGAATGGGATTTTTGTTGCTAATTCTTCATTACACTTTTGTGCATATTTTCATGTAATTATTTTTTTCAGTACTTTTTGAACTGATTAATTTTATTCAACTTTTTTAATTCTAACCTTTTTTTGAAAAATAAATGATTAAGCAGACTTTTTTAACTAGTTTTTGTGGACTGACAGTGTTTATTTGAGAACTAAATTTTAGTTATGCCTTAAGTTTAGAAAATTGAAATATTCCTCAAGTACACAAATAGGTAGGAAGACTTATGCAAATTCAAACGGATTTTAAATACAACTTCTTTAAATTGAAATCTATATTCTAGCATTTGTTGTACTGCTCAAAAACAGTCATAAAATGCATTGTTTTAAGATTTCGATTATTAGTGCTCTTAAAAAACCGTATTTGGCTGGTTGTCAGGGAATTAAAAGATTTTCAAAAATTATTGATACGTGCTCGATATTTTGAAAAAATAAATGTTTTTAGTATATTAATTCTATGTTTTGAGGTCATATCATTTTTCGCTAATAAATATTACATTATTTTAGTTATGAAAGTTGAAATTTTTTATATTCAAGTATTCAAATCGTATTAAAATTATGCGAGAATGTTCACTTGAAGTAACAAATCTTTTACCTTTACAAAATTTGTGAGCTTTATGGATTAATTATAATCTATTATCTGTGCCGTAGATCACTATTTAATTTAAAAAAATATCAATGGCATTTTGCGACTAGACAGTTAAAATCTACCAAAGTTGTTGACTATCAAGTAGTTTTTGTAAATAGTAGTTCGGGTTTTTGTAATATCTAAGAACCTTATGTCATTAATCCTTTTAAGCAGGATGAAAATTCGATTTGTAGAAAAAGATGCAAATTTTCAAACTTAGTGAATCTTGCAGTCAGACTTCGAAAAAGAGCATAAGTAAATTAATGATAGCGTAAACTTAATTTTCAGAAGTTTGAATAAAATCTATTACTCAATATCTTCTGTTGATGATTGCCTAGTGTAAACATCTGCGGGATGTAAAATATCGTTGTATTTTGACCCTTTCCTACGAACTTCGTGACAATGACCGTAACGTTCTTCCAAGTCTGAAAACTGTTTCAATAAGCATCTATCCCTATTTTGCAGACATCTGAAGATGTATTACAACAAAGTTTGCCTCACTTCAAATTCACTTTCTTTCAAGCAGTCCCGATAAATGTTATCACTTCTTTAAGATACCGAGTTTTGTATCATTCATATTAGCAACATTATATTATGTATATAAATGTGTGTGTATATGTTAATGAAGTATGATTGAAATATGCAATGCTATCAGAAGTTGAAAACATTTGTAATAAGTATGAAAAAATCGTAGGCGTTTCTGTATATTCTCTTCATTCCGAAGAGATACACTCTATCAATGAATTTTTTACGCATATTTTTTTGAATACTTTTTGTGCTTCCTTAAATGCAATAGTATACTGATTAAACTGAGTCATTTTATGAAAAAATTTGTTATTAAGCAAACATTTAAACATTTTTTTTTTAAATCATTGTAGTAGAAATTATTATAATTAAGTAATTAATATATTTAGTACTGATATTAAAAAAATAAGTATAAGTAATGGTAAGTTGTAAATGCAAGCTATTTTGGAATAAAAATATGGTTCTGTGATTCATCAGAATGTGCGTTATCTGATATATAAGTCAGTTATTTTAAAACAATGTTTTTTTGAAAGTTTTTTCAAAAATTTATTCAAAATAAATGAATTTTACCATAAAAACTAAGATTTCTCAAAGAATACAAATCTTTACTTTATCGCAATTGTAATCAATTACATATTATTTGAATTTAATTACAAAATGATAATATAATCTGAAAATTTACGCAAATATAATTAATTGAAAAAAAAAAGTTGTGAAAAATAAAGTTATGGAATTAAACAATAATCACTACCATTCCTTCTTAATCCCATCCCTGTAGACCAAAATCGTGGCTTATTCATTGAGTCAATAGGTACAGAAGTCGATCTTGGCATTACAGAATTACTAGCATTCTCTCGTCCAAAGCAGTCATTAGACTCTTTAATTTATAGAGTCAACAAATTTAATGATTAATCAATGATTAATCCAATAATTATTCAAGCAAGAATTTAGTAATAATTTAATTAATTTTAGAAATAGTAAAAAAAAATTAATTATTCGTTGACAAACCTCCCAAATGTCTAGAAAGTGCTATTCCTCCATTTGGTCCATAATTTAAGTAACCAAGATCGTAATCTCGATTATATAGTTGACAACTTTCGCTTTTCATTAATTTATCTAATACAGTAAGCTTAGTATTATATTCATGACTAGAAGATAAATGACTCAACCTAGTAAAAAATATTTAATTGAATTTGTCTTTAAATATTTTACATTGATCAGTCATTTAGATTTACATCGTTCAACAATTTTATACCTACAAATTTTGGAGGGAAAAAAGTTTGGTAGAATGTGTTTGAATCAAAAATAGTGGAAAATTTTAAGCGTTATAAATGGGAAAAAGAATATCTTTTTAATCAATCAAGAAGTGGAATGATAAGCAATAACTGATAAGAGGCAAGCAAACAAAAAGTGCACGGTTTTCGCTGGATTATGTACTGAAACTTTATTTAAAAATTGTTTTATAGTGTACTGATAGCATTAATCTCAATTAATGCTTGCAATCATTGATACCATCAATTTATCATGCTTATTGTTTTTAATAATTCAGAGAAAAATTTTTGTACTTCAGATGCCGTTACTGTTTTTTTTCATTTCGTTTTATTTTGCACATATAATTATTGTTGAAAGTCAATGTCGGAGCATTCTGAAATGAGTCATGTCTGTGCTTTCTTGATCAGCCAGCAGTCTTTTCAATTATTCTTACAAATGACTGACTTATGACCTTCACTGAACATATGTTCAGCAAAATAATTCATAAACACTTTGACCTTCCCTTCACATTTTAGATTCAAAATGCTGATAATTCTTTGCTTTGAACTGACAAGCTAAACCAAATGGATAGAAGAAATACGCAAATATTTTTGCACTTTCTGAAGCAACGGTAAAGTAACAACCACATACAGTACTCTTTTACATTGCAGATTCATTGCTATGAGGTGAATGTTCTGGGTAGGATGAATTACAGAAAAAAAATTACCTGATTTCTGGGTAGTTTTTTTCCTGTAATTCATCCTACCCAGATCCCAGAAATTGATTCATACTTCCAGTTCAATACCTATGTACATCCAAATTGACCAATAACGATAGACAAGTCAAAGTAAATCGTACAACTCCCAATAAAGATGAAAGTACCTAGAAGTACAGTAAAGAGGAATCAATGCCGAGATATTCGGACCAATAAGCTAAACTCTTCCAAAACACACCCATCGCTACACACTAGCTACTTCATTCCTAATTACATGCATGATATCTACAGTCTGATTGCATATACTATAGTACGGGATGAGTCATCCATTACACAAAGTCTTCTTTAAACGGAGGACGTACCAACGCCCACCTTATTAAGGTTCTACATAAATAGAAGTGCAAAACCACCGACCTCGGCAGGACTCGAACCTGCAATCTTCGCCTCCGGAGGGCGACGCCTTATCCATTAGGCCACAAGGCCATCAATTCAACAATGGTCATTAAAAATCTATATATTACTATTATTTTATTTAATTAAGAAATCGTATACTGACTTCAATAAAGCTAATTTATAATAATGTCACTTGATTTATATATGCAAGCATATGCAGAAATTGAAACTGTGCAGAACAAATTAGGTTAATAGTGTCTAATCTTATTTGGGTATAAATCAAAAATGAACTGATTTTTTTTTTTAAAATTGTGAATTGGGTTTATTGTAGATCAAAAGTGTGAATTTCCATTATAAATAAAAGTCATTTAATCACTGATACAATTCTATGTGTTCTATTTTTCACAAAGATCAATTCAATCATTCTAAAATCGTTACTTACTACTATATGATTAAACCTATTGCATTGATTTTTCTTCTCCTCCATGATTTTCAGTCTAAATGTACAATAAATCACACTCGATTCCTTAAATTTTTTCAAAATTCACTATAGTCAAATCTAACTTGTTGCTAATTAGCTAGTCTTATTATTATATTAGTATTTTATTTTGTTTTTTGCGCTAAATTAAAAATTAACTTTTTAAATTATTATCAAAAAGTATCACATTCACTTTGATCGAATATGAAAATAGATCATATCCGTTGCACATTTTCACTTTCACTTTCACTTTCACTTTCACTTTTACTTTACTTTTACTTTTCTACGTGTCACCGCCATTTTTGCACAAGAGCAAAAGATTTTGCCCAAATGAAACGAATTTTCGAGCAGACTTGTGAGGATTTCATGATTATCATTGTGTTGTGTTCTTATGTAGGGTATATAGTGCACACAAAGTGATTGTTGCATATTGCAACTCGTAAACTTATTCTTGTTTTTTATTTTTTTCGCTAAGAATTGCATAGGGGCAGTCTTGCTGTGTGTGTATGTGTGTGTGTTTAAGCTAAGCAGACGTGAGTTTCTCTCCTTACCACATTTGGCTATTTTTTAAATTTCACAAGTTTTTTATGCATATTTTTCATTTATTTCAGTTCATTGAAGTAGTTTACTTGTACTTAAACTTTTGCTAATAAATGCATTAGATCAGAAATGTGTAAAGATTAATTAGATTAAAATTACGTGCTATTAAACTACATATTAATAATATCATAATTTAATGAATGAAAAATCATAAGTGTTTTTCTCAGAATCATATTTGAAATGGTTTAGACTCAAAAATGTCACCTAATTACTATCCAGTTTGTAATTTGAACATTTTGGTTTATTTTGAAAATGTAACCTAATTAGTGTCCGGTTTATAAATTTAGCATTTTTAACATATTTAAAATTGGTTTATATTCAAAAAATGTTAGTGTCCAGTGTATAATTTTATCATTTCGTTTTTATTCAAAAAATGTTACCTTTTAAAGATAATTAGTGTCCAGTTTACAAATTTAGCATTTTTATTGTATAATTTAAAATTAATGAATTAGTTTTTATAATTTGTAAGGGTATGGTATTATTTGCATTATTGCTTTGACTAAAATATATAGCACAGATACATTCTGTAATCGTATGGTACTACTGTGATAAACGATATTTATTAATATCTGATTCACTTATTGATAGTTGATTCAGTAAAAGGTATGGAAGAAATGATTTTTGAAAGAAATTTGGAACTGATTGAAGATGATGATTTAAATGGAGATCTGGCACTAACTGAAGACCGAGAAGATTTATTCATGCGTATAAGACTGGCATTTATGGTAATAATTTTAAATTGTTGGAGTTAGTGAGAGAAATAATTGAGTTAATACATATTTACTGCTACATAATTTACAACATTATTTAAACGCTCTAAAAGTCAGCAGAATATATGCTTAATTCATTGTATGTCATGAATTAAAGATATATTATAAAGAACAGAATTAAAATATATAATTAAAAAATTTACAACCAATAATTTTGGAACAAATCATTAACTGTATCTTTTGATAATACATCAGAATTTGTTAATTTTTCAAGTCAAAATTGAAACAGAACCCAAAATATGGATCAAGAGTAATTATCGAGTTTTTAAAAATAACTTTTTGTGGTTAGTAAGTTCTTGGTATCATTAAGCTTAATATGACTGATGATGCAAGGCAGAATTTACGGCTTTTAACTGAGATTTATGGTAAGGAATTTAACGATGAAGAACGAAATCTATTTGCTGCATTTTACAAGGTCAGCATATCTAACTCATAATTTTAAATAATTTAATTTTGTAGTTCTCACAAATATTACATCATCCGTACTATTTAATGCGTAAAAAGTAGCTTTTTCTGCAAAATATAAGTAGATTTTTGATTATGACAAAGTTTAAAATTCATATTTCTGTTATGAATCTTAATTCATTGTATTAATCAATATTGCTCAAAATTAACTCTACAGAATTATTAATTTTCCTAACTTTTAAGTTCTCTTCTAAAAAATAATTTTTCTTTTTCAATAATTAAATGAAGATTTGTTAGAGCATAGTAAAGAAATTATACAAGGAGTATACATTGTTCATTGATCTATTCGATGATTCAACAGAAGTAGAAATTCTAAGAAGGCGTATTTTACGTGAAAACATGAGTAGAGTACGCTACGAAGCTGTGACCATTTGTGAAGAAGTGATCGTCAGTATTTTTCACATTTACAATGCTTCCATATTAGCTCACTCAATTTTTTGATGAAGTAGATATGATACTTGTTTCAAAAAAAACACTTTTTTTGGTAATTTAATAAATTTTAAAGAGTTTGCAGATTTTTATTGCTAAATTCATACATATAAATATCATTTTTGCAAAATTTGTGATTTGCAACAAAGACTTAGTTTTGTTTATCAACGACTAATTACTTCGTTAGTGATAATTTGTAAATTGAAATTGCATTTATATAATTTTAACAAAAATTAACCTTTAAGTACCCTTCAATTTAATATCATTCATTTATTCATATAAATTAATCAGATATAAATTGAATAAAATTAAGCGTTGAAAAATCTTTTAGCAAAAATGAAATTAGCTTATAATAAAAGTCAGTGATATCAATTTCTATCGTCTTCATAAAATATAATATATTGTGAATAAATTATTAAATTAAAAATATGAGATGAACTTAACTTTTATTTTTAGTCAACTAAAACCAATCTATAATTTAGCAAATTATCAATGATTACATATTAAGAACGAAACTTCCTCGACTGAAAGTTTATTTTCTGAAAGTTCTCGGTGATTACTACCGATACTGGGCATTTGTTGCATCAAAAGAGAAGTTTTTTGGTAACACTTTTACTAAATATTTTTTATGTAATACTTTTTTAATACCTTCCAAATAAAATTTAAAATTTTTCAAACAAGCAAATTTTTTTTGTAATAAAGTTGTGATGGTAGCTTTTTTATCAAGCTATTCAAAAAGCAATAAAGCAAAAGCAAAAAAGCAAAAGAGTATTCTTAATGGATGTTTGTTAAAATTACGTAAAATTTTTTGTGCTACTGATAAAAGTCTAAAACTTTAACACTATTACAGTGTGAATCACTTTGGAAAATGAGATTAAATTCTAGATTTACGTATGAGAGCCGAAGATTCTTATAAAGATGCTCTTGAAGTAGCAGATATGAGTCTCAAAATGTATGATCCTATACGCTTAAGTATTATGCTTAATATGTCAATTAACTACTACATAGAACCACGAGAACGAGTTAAGGCTTTGCAAATAGCAATGCAGGTATATTTTTAAAAGAAATTGCGGGTTAAACTTTTGAAAGTAAAATTATGAGCACTCATTACAAATCATATTTTAATAAAATAATGCTTTCATGTAAATAAGCTTGAATAATTTTTTTGATCTGATCATTAAATTTATTGCTAAAATTTTGATAAATAGAAAGTGAAGTTGAAATTGCATGGCTTAGATGGATTTACTTTAGGCAATATCGGAAGGTAAAGCATATGTTGACAGAGATCCAGATATCGGCGTAGTGATTCAATTATTAGAAGAAAATATTCAAAATTGGACGTCACATCTGGAACCATTTGAAATAGACGAAGTAGAACGGTTAGAAGGAGCTCGGAAGTGGCATGGTGATTACAGCAAAATGTACCTGAAATTCTTTACTGCGAATCTCTCGCCATTCCAAAAAATTTTAATTGCAAAAATTTTTCTTTTTAAATTTAAAAAACAAAAAAAAGAATCTTTTTGTAATTTATTATTAATACAATTATGAAGTTATTAGCAATGAAGAAAATAAGCAATGACTTTTTCGATTTTATTTATTTTTTGATTAAAATTTTCATGATTTATCACTATGAAATATTTGTAGGGAAAGATGCCGCAGTGCCATCTCCACGTTTATATTTTCGCATATGTGGAGAAGTGCCACCTGGTTTCCCTCCTCCTTATCTCATTGAAGCTGTTCCTCCAACGCCACATTATTATAGACTAGCCCATGATCCTAATCCATATTTTATACGAACAATTATGCCATCTGAAGATGCTCAAGCACACTACGCCCGCTATCACCATCCATATTTATGGCAAGACTTTCAATACCTATATGAACCATTATATAAACCTGAAAAATCAGAAGCTAATACAGAAGAAACGACATCGATTACAAAAATGAAACCAGAAATGACCAAACAGCAAACTACTTTAGTGGAAAGAAAGGATGAACCAAAAATTAGTCAGCAATCAGATAGAACAGAGCATAAACCAGAAAGTTACAAGAAGGAAGCTGTCCCGAAAAAGTTACGTGATAAACGAGAAGTCGAAAGTGTGGGACCGTCTAAGGAAACGGAAATTATACAAGTTTCTTCATCATCAAGACCAGAACCAGTAAGTTTGGGTCCTATAGGAACCTTACATTCTCAAAGGGACAATCTAATTGAACTGAAGGAGAAGGAAGAGAAGGAGGAGAAAGAGAAGAAAGAAGAAGAATATATTCCATCCTTAGTACCACTTTTAGGAATAAGCCGAAGACTGTTACAAAATAACGATCCTTTTGAAGGTGTTTTACAACCTTTAATGTCAACACCTTCTACCTTATCTGTGTCAGCAGAAGAAGAAGAAGTAGTAACAGATGAAAATAATGAAAATGAATATGGATCAGTGATGCATGTTAGTTCTCCAATAAATGTACCAGGTTTCAATCCATCTAGAGTACTTCCTTTAACAGATGAATACGATCTATCAGATACTGAAGGTTTAACAGGAACGACTGATAGTTTTGGAGCAAGAATACTTGCAATGCAGAAACGTTTAGATGAAGCAAAAGGAGAAGTACCATTTATTGTAGGATCACCACCACATGAAAAAAGAGTATATCCAGTTTCAAAAGACAGTACAGTTGAAAATGAACAAGCAAAATCAACACATGAGCACAAACAATCGCGAGTTATGCCTATTTCTTCTTCTGTCCAAGAACCTTTGACCACAACAGAAGCTCCAGCAGTTGAATGCAGTATAAGTAGAAGCGAAACTGATGTTATTCCACGAATACAGCCAATCAAAAAAATCAAATCGCAAGGTCAGTGTGTTGCAACTGTTCCTACTTCTCCACCACAGGTAAATGAAGAACGTGATGCTCATACTGATCAAAAAACAAGCATGCTAAAGGATGATTTTTCGACCCAAGAAAGTTCTAGTTCAAGATGGAAAAGTGCATTAGCTCCCAAAATATCTGAAGACTACAACTCTGAAGAAATACCGGGATTGTTTGATGATGATGACGATGATGATATTGCTTTGGCATCTGAAAAGACTTCTGATAGGCTGACTTCAAAAATGCCTCAAGATAATAGTTCTAATATGTTAGAAAAAATTAACGGCAACAATGCTTTGAAATCGAGAATAAAAGCAGAGGGTAGAATGACGCCAAAAATGCCTCAATATTGCTCTGAAATGAAGCAGGAAAAGCGTAATTCAAGCTTTGGAAAGAATATTTCACGCATTGCAAGTTCTGAAACAACACTGCTTTGGGAGATTAGTCTTGGAAAAACATCAAGGTTATTAGAAACCGTAGCTCCTGACACAGCCATGAGAACTACAAGGGACTTTGCTTCTGAATCATCTTCAGAATCGTCACGAAATACTACTCCTCAGTTAGTTCCAAGACTGTGGCGTAATGTTAGTCCTCCAACAGCTGAAAGAAAACCGCGGAGTGTTAGTCCTGAAATGGCTGTAAGAAGAGTGGTTTGGGATGTTGACCTTGCAATGATTGCCAGGTTGACACGTAGTGTCAGTCCTAGTATTGTTTCAAGAAGAACCACAGAAGGTAGTTCAACAGAAACCACAGAAAGTAGTTCAACAAAAACCACAAAAAGTAGTTCAACAAAAACCACAAAAAGTAGTTCAACAAAAACCACAGAAAGTAGTTCAACAAAAACCACAGAAAGTAGTTCAAGAACGTCTTCTGACATGATTTATGACATGTGCCAAAGGTTTCCTAGAAAGACCATTCCGAATATTTTAAGAAGAAGGAGAAGAGGAGGATTGGCTCCAAAAATGCCTCCGGACGGTAGTCTTGAAGGGAATCAAGAAATACCTCAAGAAATACCTCAAGAAACACCTCAAGAAACACCTCAAGAAATTAACTGTGACAATTTTGAGTCAACAGAACAGTCAGAAAACAAATTGTTATTTACAAGAATACCTCGTGATGAGAATCCTCAAACAACTATAATTCAGGAAACAATTCCTAGCACCACCGTATTGCAATCCGAAAAAACGACGGAAAGTGGGTTGTCTTCAGAAATGGTGCAGGAAGATTATGCCGAAATTTGTCGAGCAATGCATCGGAATAGCTCCGATAGTTCTAGATCAGAAGACCAAACAGAAGATGATTTCAACTCAAGAATACATGAAGACATTAGTCCTCGAAGTGATCAGTCTTTGGACGTTAGCCCAACCAATTTTAGGTCAAGGAAACGAACAAGAGGTGGATTGCTTTCAAGAATGCCTCGGAGGGATAGTCCTAGCAGCCCCAGATCGAGAAAGCGAGTTAAGGAAGGATTGACTACAGGCACGTCTCGGGATGACTTTGAAATGGCTCCAGAAATGCACTGCAAAATTAGTACTGGTATGTCAAAAAAAACGAAAAAAAGTGAATTGCTACCAAGTACGTTTCAAAGTAGTGACGCTAAGATTGCTTCAGGATCACGTGGAATTATTAGCTGTCCAAACATTTTCAGGCCAAAAAGTGGAGAGAATTTGGATTCGGAAAGTTTTCAGGGTGGTAGCTCTTTAGGAATATCTCGAAACATCAGTCCTGAATCTATTTTAAAATGGAGAAGAGTGAAACGACCTGAATTAAATCAAAAAAAGTTCCAGGATGATCATTTAGGAGAAGTGAGAAGTGTTACGTCTGATGAGACTTTGGGAAAAAAATACCTCCAAAGTTATCGACGTCAAGAACTTTCATCTTCACCTCAGAAAAGGCTGCCAAAACGTCACAGGAAAAAATTGGTGGAACGAAAGCTACTTCGACGATCTTTCTCAGCTCCTCGCCATGGAGCTCCATGGCCTGATGTACTGATATCTTTGTGCCAAGAAAGTCCATTTTTCGTGCGCAAAATTTTGCGTGATGCATCAAGACTTCCACAAGAGTTTGGCAGGAGATTTCTTTCAGCACATTCTAGCGCCGAAGAATTATATGATGAAGCTGCGGATAGAGAGTTCTTCGATCCATGGACACCAAGAGGTTTAAGGTCAATGCGAGATACGTTTCCGATCACACCGTGGAACCCGGGAAGAGAAGTCATTGTCCCCTGGATTTCATTTCGATGGCCTCGCAGGAGATTTGAGGATGATCGAAATCTTATGCTTCATCCAGAACAACGCCAACAAGTTTCTGAAGATAATGATGAACAAATACAACACTACATACAACAGCTACCTGTTACTAACAGAGAATCTGAGACTAGTTCTTCAGTCTCTTCCGATATTCTTTCATTGTTTGATTTAATGTATTCTGATTCTGAATAAATAGAAGAACACACAAACAATTGGGTAAGAATTTTTTTAACTGTAGTTTTACATAAAATATTACAATTTCAGAAATGATTGTAATTATGAATCAAAATTCATCCATAACATTAATAATTCCCGAGTTTTTCATAAAATGGGAAAATTCGAAGTTGATCATTATTTGAGTTCATCATCTTGATTATTAATAAAATCAAAATAATTTGGTACTGCTATATGCATGCAAGATCTCGACAACGAGAATCAAAATTTCTCGATTAATAACAAGTAATACTCAATACTTTCAGGAGAGTAATCTTGCTACTAAACTTGATATTTGATAGAATTTTCAGAATCCATTCAGTGCATCATTCCTTCTTAATTGGAACCTATACTAATTAGCTTGGAGATTTTCAGGCCATCATTCAGCCATTTTGCAAGAGCACTCTTGATCAGTTTGCTTGCTCATCTACACGATTTTGTTCAAATATCTGTTTTTCATATAATCTTACAGACATGTGATAATTTTTCACTTCTTTAACGATATTCTAGAATACACCATCAAGACCTTATACTTTGCTTGTTCGTCTTCGGTTTTTTCTGTGTAAACCTCTGATTCAAAGTGACATCATAATTACTTGTGTCCTGATCTCAAACCCCACTTTCTAAATTCTTCCATTTCGCAGTACTAACAACTTACTGTACTACTCACTCCTGATTCCTGATTCTTGCAAAAAATTATTCAATTTCTGATGTACACTACTGTATAAATAACTCACTCGTTCAGTCAATAGAGTACAAGAAAGTGATGAAAAATATTTGGAAATTGAATTTGTATGCAAACTATGCCTTGCCTTTTTATTGCTGTGCCTCAAGTTTTCAGTATAAATTTATTTTTAATTTGCACTGAATGTATTATCACAAAACAGTCAACAAGAAAGTTATCCGACAGGTGTAGCTATTTGTATCACTTTTATACTGAATCTGACAGACATTGCTACTTTCTCGACATTTGTAATGAAATAGAAAGAACAGTGCGGTATGACTGAAATAGTTACGAGATGGTAGGATCTTAGATTTAGTCACTGTAGAAATGCAGTATAGATTGACAGTGCAAAATTGAAGAAGCAGGATTTTTTGTAAGAATTTTTCCAGCTTCATCGAGGTTCAGTTCAGGTTGAGATAATTGAAGATGGCAATTGACACAATATTTTTTAATCACTTGATATAACTATGCGAGTAATAATTAAGCTTTGGTTGTATCTGAACTTCTATCCTCGAAGCACACTTTGATAAATTGCAATTCATGTAATAAACATTCAACATGAAAAACTGCATAATTTATTCAATTTTATTTAAGAGCAAGTGAAACCGATTAAGGTCATTATCCCCTTCAACACGGTTTCAAGACGGTTCAGTTTTCATTCCAAGCGAAGTCATTATGCGAACGGTCGATACTGAGTTAGTTACTGAGTAAGATTACATCAAAAGTGTTTTGTAGAGGGATCGGTCATTTATTGCGTTAAACCAATTAACTTAGATTAGTGGCTATTAGTGAAACTGAAATAACCATCTGAATCTTCGAGAATCTTAGTTGCTAGCGTAGTTTACACCTTACTGATGCAGAAATTGGTATTAATTTTTTATAATTACTATTTATAGTTAATTTGAAGTTCGAATGTAGTAGATAATTATCACAAGAAATTTGTATTGAAGATTTTATTGTGTCATCACACACTAATACTTGGAATTCTACAGAAAAATGGAGGATACTGTATCAGTAACATTTGGTAAATTACTATGAATATGCTCAACTACTTGTGTTATATCATTAAATCAGCACTCTATTACTTATTTGAATTTACTTCATTCAAATAATATCATCCTGTTTATTAAATTTAAATAGTAAATATACTATCAAAATTAATATATAATAACAGTTTAAATTACAGTAAAAATGTTGTGCAACAAATAGTAACGTGTTTTTGTCTTCAGTTTTGAGAAACAAAAACTGTACACATTTGTATTCATGGGGAGTGGGAAGAGCAAAGTAGTTTGGGTGTCAGCAATGACTCAGTACTATTTCTTTCCTTAAAATGCTTCTGGCTGTTGTAATGTGTAGAACGTAAGCAGAGGAAAACGTACGCTTGCATTAGTATCTGTCTGTCTGTTTCTAATTGTAAATCATTTCAACGTATGTGTGTTTGCCTTTTTCCCACAATATCATCAATCACATTTGAATTCAAGCGAATGAGCGGTTTAAAATGCTATGAGAGACGTTAATATCTCAATCGACCACTTTTTTTTTGAATTTACGAACAAATGTTATGCAAATGATACTCTCACATACACAAGCCACACGTACAACGCACAGCAAGTATACGGAAGTAAAAGTATTTGCTATCTATCATTTGCTTGATAGAAGAAGTAATATGCATGCATCACACTCACTGATACAGAATTTTCAGAAATACAGTTTCTTTACTTTCAGATTTAAGTTTAGAATAAGATTAAGTCTTAAGATAGTTTAAAAGTTTTAAGTTTCAGAAGCGATTTAAAAGTGTTCAGTTTTAGTTACAGTTTCTTTTTTTTTGTTTTAATTTTAGTATTTAAGAAATACGACTAGATGTAGCATGAACTTTGCACTTGCCATGCTGACAATTTTCTATCATATAAAAATAATCTAAAATTGAATCATCGATTGTGTAGAAAAAAACCTGACATTGTTATTTTTAAAAAAATCTAAAATAAAGTAAGAATCTACACTTATATTCAAAACAAAAAATACTGCTTGGAATCTGATATCGTACATTTGCATGTTTCTAACGACGCATAATGAAGGCTTGTTAGCAGTGAACAATCAATAATTATTCGGTGTGGATTCTTACTTTATTTTTCAATTTCTAAAAGTATCTCAAAGGAATAACTTAAATTTGAATCATATCTTGGCATGATCGATGTAAACTTGATTTTTAAATACATCATACAACTGCGATTAGAAGAAAGTCTTACTTCTCATTTGTTGATCAACTAATCTATCTAGGTTAGTTAATAAATTGATTTTGCGCACTTTTGTAATAAATTGGTGGCATTCTACTACGATATGCTAATTAATGCAATAATTTAATGAAATGCGATAGTTGATAAGCAAATAAGAATGAGTTTAGGAAATTAAGAATGAATTGCCCAAAATTAAAGAAGACACTATATAGCTGATAGTTTAATGGTATGAATTAAGAACGCAGATTGTATTGCTTTCAATTTCACACTGACATTAAGACAATTATGAAAATATATTTTGTATAATTTGTGCTTTTAATAATAATTGCATTTTGAAAATAAGTACTGCTGACTTCTAATCAGATCAGACGAATTGAAGGATAGTGTGTAATTTAAATGTGATTAGAAAAGTGATCAGCCATAGTTTATTTATTTTTAAATGAATATGTAGATCTAGATCTCGTCCGGACGACACCAGTCTGAGTTTACCTTCGAAAAATCAACAATCATCAACTATAGAGTTAGCTACAAAACGAAGATATGATATTCTTCCTGTTGACAATGAAAGGTAAATTTGGTCCATTTTGGTTGATTTATTAGAATAAATCATTGATATTGATTGAAAAGATCACTTATTTCGATAAGTAAAAACCAATTTATCAATAATTTCAACATAATACAGTATTCTTCAAACATATCACACATTTGCTTATGTTACAATTACAAGTCATTGGCACACTTTATAAATAATTTAATTGACACACTAAAAAGCTACAAAAATTTCTTTGAAGAAATCAAGATTTTATTTTTAAAGTCCACACATTATAGTCACTTACTGAAAGTATATTTTGCATTTAGAACAAAATTTGTAGTATAATTAAATTTGCACGTGAACGGAAAAATAAACGTGTAGCACGCATTCAAATTTCGCTTTTCAACGATGGCACAAATGTTCTAGACTGGAAAATACGATCTACAACGACAGCAATTAGGGTTAATTGCATAAATTAATTTTAACCTTGCTGAAAAGTTAGTTTAACAATCAAGCTATTACTAATAATAAGGTTCACTTATTTGATTATTTTATAGCGCTCAAAAAATTGCTATTATTTGCCAAAAAATATTTGAAGGCGATTCCATCTGGAAGAGGACAGATTCCATGTCATGGAAACGTTAAATTCTTGTTAATTTGGGTGCTTCCTGATCACATCGAAACTTGGGAAGAGATGAAGCCCCCCAAATTGTTGTTTTCGATTAAACTTCTGGACAGTAATGTAGTTGTTGGATCAGCAAATATAAAATTTTTTGGTAAATATTTTACAACTTTATGAAGTGACAGCAACCAACAAGTGCAAAGGGATCTATATTGTAGATTTTTTTGTACACTTTTGCTTTCTCATTTGAGTAAATATATATCAGTAAGAATAAATATTAACTTGAGAATATCTTGGCTGAAATGGAAATATTCCAGAGTTAATTTAAGTGAGATTAACATTAACATTTATATGATAAGACTGATCTGTTTACAATATATTATTATGATATGCAGTTTTCAGGATAACAGTAAAGTCTTTATTCTTTAAGTTGAAGTTTATTATCAAAACTATTTTTCAGGGAAAATTGAAATGAACGAATTTTGTACAACAAAAAATCCACCTATTCACAACCTCATTTTTGATTCTGAAATGTCGAAGCTATCGAACGGAAATTCAGAAGTTCCACTCCAGACGGCAATGGAGTGTTCAGAAATGATGCTTCAGTTAGTAATAATATAAAGTTTTTTATAATTTTGGTGAACATTTAGAGGCACACGTAAAGTCAGAAATCATATTTTGACCTGGAATTCATAGAAACGTGAACTAGATTTTGCTTGCTTTTAAAAATAATTCATTCTTTCATCATCTTCAAATTGCTAATTTGTAGAAATAATTTCAGGCAGCCTATAAAAGTATTGCATCCGTCACCAACTAAACTTCAGTAAATTTTGTAAAAAATTGATTGTAAGAAAATATAAGAAATACTAATGAAAATCAGAACTGCAAGTGAAAAGTTTAACTCAAATTAATTAATATCTGGCATTTCTGACTTTGCGATTCATGTGATTGTAACATCAGAAAAGTAGTAATTTCGATTTCGTTTAATAACATTTCCAGAAGCCCTTAAAAAAATTTTTAACTATTTGGGAACAATTAAATGGCTTTTAGGATAATTTATTTCTCTTTGGATCCATCATATCACTACATTGCCCGTGTAGAACTTAGCCTTATTAATGACAGCAAGCAATATTTAGTTTGGAAGCTGAAGACCAGCAGTGAATTTATAAAGGTCAACTTGAATATTTTGTTAAAACAATCTAACTTTGTAAATACTTACAGTTTTATCTCGTTGATTTTTTAACTATAAATTTTATCAATGTTAAGGCTATGCCAAGTGGGACTGGCTTGTTACCATCTTATGAAAGTAGCAAGTGTATTCTTATTTGGGATCTTTCACGACATTTTTATTCATGTCAGAAGCCTCCTTCTGAAAGACTTATATTGTTTGCTCGGGCCTACACGAGTACAGGACAATTGCTTGGAGAAGAAATCGCAAAATATATGAGTTAGAGCAACCTTGCAAATGTTATCTTATTAATAAATTCTTTGTGAAGTTAAAATTTTATGAGCTTTTACTGTTTTCATTGAAAATTGAATGTTTTTTTCTTTCAAATGATAAACATTTCATAATAATAATGTTAAATTTTTAAATAATTTATTAATTAATAATTATGAAGCATTACTTATAATATAGATGATACGTGCTTCAACACTTTAATTAACTTAATTATAGTAAAGCCAAACAGTTCTCACACTAAACATGTACCAGTTCATCAGCTTGTGCTTGCATCAGAAAAGGCCTATAATGAAGAAAAGCAATTTACTCGAATGTCAACTGCTGCGTCAACTAATGTGTAATCTTGTTCTGACTTAAAGCTGATTTCAAAATTTTATGAGATTCAGTTCCAACCTTTAATGGATAATAACTGTAAAATACCTAACGGGTCTTTATATACAGGGATGTTTCACTGAAGAAAAAAGTTGATGCCGGTCAGTCAGAAGGAAAAATCCCAAATGACCAGCATATTTGGCAGTTTGGAATCGTTTGTTGCATAGCAGTGATGTCTTATCTTGTTTTCAAAATGCTTATCGAGAATTTTTTATTGTAAAATATTGGCAATCAAAATATTTATGTATAATGTATTTTTTTTCAAACTAATATAAAATTACCCATAAAATATTTTACATTTCGAATTTTGTTACATTTCTTGATAGTATTTTCTCAAGTACAATAAGTCATCCATAAATTATCAACTTGCATTTTTACGTAATTAGCAAAATTTCTTACAACAATACTCATAAAGAAATGAGAAGTGAAATTACAAATTTTAAAGGTTAAATCAAATTATATATGCAGCGCACAATATAATTACAGCAATTTTATTCTTGATTTCAAATTGAAATTAAAATATTTAAATTATTGACTTGAAAACACTTAGCTATGCAATTTCAAAGTCAAAAGTCAAAAAAATGACTAAACGAAGCGTTTTCGATAATAAGTGATCAGTGTATCGAAAAAATTGCATTTACAAAGCACAAAAAAATTCTACTTGTAGTGATTTTTTGAATAAGCGGTCTTCAGGATTTAATTTATTAGCAAATAAAAAGTGTATCAACGGTGAAGTTTATACTGAGTCCATATTTATTTACATAATTTAAGCGATTTAGACTTCATAAGTCTCATTCTAAGGGACATCTATAAAACTGTATGTTTTCTACATCGGATGAGTTGGAACTATCAGGTAAGCATGGAATGAGATCATTATCGTCATATAATCTATTGACCACTGCATCAATCAAATCCAATTCCAATCCTGCATGTTTATATCCTAAACAAAGTAAACACATCTGTGTCGTTAGTGATATGAAATTAGAAGTGATCTGCAAATAATAGCATACCTTTCAAATTATAGTACAGAAAAAAGATAGCTTTTAAATAAACCTTTCATTTCACACTGCTCACATTTGAGCCAATTATAAACCATATTAGCGCATTTTTGTAATTTTCTTCTGCAATTTTCTGTTTTGTCGAGATTACTGTATTGCAGAATACCGAAAATGATTGTTGTAGCGATAAAAATAATTAGAAGTAGAGATAGTACTGATATCAGGACAACGCACCATTTATGGTCTGGCCACCAGTTCCTTTTAATCACGACATGAATACTTTGAACTTTCAAAATATGAAAATTTGTAAAGTTAAATAAAATAACATAAAGCACAATTAATTAATACGTATGAGAAATTATACAATAAACAAAAAATAATAAGTGCACAATTCTTGATTTATTTTTGAACTGACATGCAAAAAAAACTACAAGATTTCAACAGTTTATAGCAATAGGATTAGTTTTTGGCTAGTCATTAAAGTTTGGATCAGAATTTAAATTCCAAAATTAAATTTAAAGAAAAGTATATTTAATTAGAAGTCGTAATTAAATTACGCCCTTAATTCTTTGATAAGAAAAGAAGAAACCTGATGTTACAAGTGGTCTTCCGATCTTGCAAAGATTCATACAAGCTGCTAGGCTCTAATATCAAAGAGTTTTTTCGATTTCTTGCTGAACTTAATATACATAAACATATAAGTAATAAAATTTCTCAAACTTTTGAATCCCAAAAAAGTAACAATTGATAATTCAAAAATATGTCAGCAACTAAACAGCAAATATTTACAAATAATATGTTTATACTTTGAATTTTTGGTATTTGTTTTTTAATACTTACCTCGACCTTTCAACTTATTCGGAACTTCAACTGGAACCAAGCATATTTTATTATTTTCCTCAGTTATACGTAATCTTGGTAGAGAATATGATTGTGTACAATCAAAGGAGTTACTTCTTTCTCGATGACACCCAGCGCAAACACCTATAACAATTTCTACGAGTTAAATTTAGTCAGAAGAAATTTTGCATATTTAAGATTACTGATAGAACTACGTAAAACGGTAGGGATGAAGAAGGCTTAACTAAGATTATTCAGGAAAGCTTTAGATAATTTTTTTTAAATGAATTCCAATTTTTTACAGAAATAAAAATGAGCACATAAAGTTTTTAAATATAAGTAAATCCCTTCTAACAAATTTTATTTGAATTTATGACTATGAGATTTTAACAGTTCATAGCAATGGGATTAGTTTCTGATTACTTTTTGCTAATAAAGTTTGTATCAGAATTAAATTCAAAATTTAATATATAATCAGAAATTTAAACTACCGAAAAAATAACTTGGTGGAGCAGAATTAACGCTAAAATTTGCAGCATTATGACGGCAAACTCGACAAAAACTTGATTTGAAATAATCTGGAGATGGATTTTTGCTATAATCATTGCTATAAGCTGATGTAGAACCCATTTTTGGAGTAGTAGTAGTATAACGTAAGCTAAAAATATATATCAAAAAACGTTGCAATAAAAAATTTTTACTTGCAAATAGTATAAATTACAATATTAGTTCAAAAGTTAAGAGTAAAAATTTAGTTACGAAAATTTTTTAGCAGAAAAATTTACTCTCAAAGTTGTGAATATAAAACTTTCTGTTTACAAAAATTTTGGCAGAAATGGTTATCATTCCTGCCAATATAAATATTTAAATCAGAGTAGTCTACTGACATTAACTGATAAAAAGTTCATTTGTTGAGCGAAGAGAAATGAATAAATAACAGAATTTTGCCACTCCTTCTTGAATATAAAATTTCGATCATATTTCAGTTTATGATAATGCTTGTGTAGTAAGTATATACTTCCTTAATGGTAGATTTCAGAAGTATTTTGAAGAAAAAGCATTTTTACAAATGTTATAAAGAAAGCAAAATAAACGTATATGTACTCGTTTTCATACTCAAAATCTACAACAGATATTCAAAAATGTGCTATCTTAAACTCTGCGATTGATTCATTAACAAATTTGAATGCTGAAGTATTTCAATAAATAATTCACAGTTCACTTCCCCCAAATCGTGTAGCTTCAAAATATCACCAAGTAAACTTAATGCTACTAAAGGTCACGCATAAATTCTACGTAAATTTTTAGCATAAAATTTAACAAATTATGGATGGAAATGAGTGAAGTCAAGTAGAGTATAACTTTAAGAAGGAATAGGTCACCCTATAATTTGACTAACCCTTAACATGAAACCTATGACATATGCCATCAGCACTTCATCGTACTTAACGGATCTATGTTACTTCACATCTATCCCTCGCCTTCATTCTGCACTTGAATCATCTGAGTGGATGATATTCAGAGAGAAACAAAAAACACCCAATACATTCCTGGGAAACAACCGATCTCCTCATATGATTTTACTGAGTGTTTCATTATCGTCTTTGATCTGAATTCATGCTGATGATTCATTCCTTTATGTTACAGCTGCAAATACAATAGACATCTTGCTATCTCTATAATTACCTTTAGAGAAAAAAACTTCCGCTATACGCAGCCAGGAATGCGTTTGGTGCATCATAAAGTCAGGTTGTAGTTGAAAAACGGAAGGAATTCAAACTTTCTTCCTTCAGAATACTAAATTGAAATGTCTTCTGAAACACTCATTTCTAGCCTGAATTTATTAGCTTCCAGTACAGTTGCATACACATAAACAAATTATGATTTTTTATAGTTCAAACTTTTTAATTTTCAGATCACACTTGTGTTATATATTCCATAAGCACATCTGGAAAATTGCTAATGCAGATCAATCATGTTCAGATATTCTGATTGTAATTTTATTTCACTAATATTTGTTCTTTACTAGACTTTTCATTTTTACAAAATTACGAGAATTTTTGGCACAAAGTAAAAGATATTTAGTTAATTCAGTTTTTTTCGAATAATCCACACTATAGTCTTGACGTGTTCAAACATAAAGTAGAGATGGGTGGGCAAAGTGGTAAATAGTTGCCAGGTAATTAGATAAACGAGCTGGTAGAAATGTGATTTTTGACTTTGTGCTACTTTACGAGGGGTCAACGAATACAGTTGGTCATTTCATTTCTCACATTTTTCTCAGTTCTTTTCTCAATTGAGACGTTCCCTCTCTTCGGCGATTGATCTTGTCGGCGTATTTACTTACGAAACATTACAATTATCACCAATAATCACCACAGAGCTTGAAAAATATTGACTATCCAAATATAGTTACCAAATTGATTTGCTGTTTGCTATTGGTCAATTGACGTGAAATGTGATTTCTGACTTTGTGCTACTTTACGAGGGGTCAACGAATACAGTTGGTCATTTCATTTCTCACATTTTTCTCAGTTCTTTTCTCAATTGAGACGTTCCCTCTCTGGCAATTGATCTTATCGGCGTATTTACTTACGAAGCATTACAATTATCACCAATAATCACCTCAGAGCTTGAAAAATATTGACTATCCAAATATGGTGACCAAATTGATTTGCTGTTTGCTGTTGGTCAATTGACGTGAAATGTGA